ATAAGGTGCTACTTCTTTTGCCAACAACAACAAGCTGTTCATGCAATAAAAAGGTCCATTTGAATTCATCAAACAAAAGAATAAAGTCAACAACTTTCTTGGGATAAGTGGAAAGAAAGAAACTTTCCACATCTTTTTGCTTAAGTACGAGAAACGCGAACCTTTATCAGTGCAACAAGTATTGGTTATAACTGAAGTCAACCAAGGCCCCCTGGAAGCGAACGAGGAACAGCCAAGCGAAGAAAACTCTCACAAGGTTCCTTCCCCTAGTTCACCCCACATACAGACTGCGGCTTATGTTCATTTATCTGACAATCTTGAGTGTTAGCCAGCGTTCTGATGTGCTTGATTTATTCAAATAATTTGAGACCATCTTCTCAGACCTTCAAAGAAAGCCTGACCTAGTGAATCGCACGCTAGGGTTGACATCTGATAAGCCTATACACGTGCCGCAATATCCTATTCCTCTACCTCTACGGGAAAGCGTAAAGGCAGAAGTCCAAGGCATGCTTAAGATGGGCATAACTGAAAGATTAGAGTCATTATATCATGATTCCATTATAGTTGTTAAGAAACCTGACAACACGATTCGTTTATGCATTAATTTCAGAAAGCTCAAAAAGATCTTGATTGCAGACGGAGAGCCAATACCGGGTATAGACGTTGTTCTTGCCCTTGCTGGTTAATGCAATCTTTTTTTCTAAGTTGGCCTTCACTAAAGGTTACTGGCAACTGTCCATGGCAATGAACAATTGGGAAAAAAACAGCATTTTCTAGTACCTCTGGACTATACGACTTTGTATATATGCCCTTTGGCATAAAGACAGCTCCAGCTGTTTTCACACACCTCTCGACAGCTGTTTTGGTGACTTAGTAAATGTTTATCACTATTTTGACGATTTAGTCATTGCTACAAATACGTGGCATGAACTTTTGGTCACTTTGCGAAGCGTATTTGACCGAATAAAATGCACCAATTTAACCATCAAGCCTAGTAAATGTGAAATAGGAGAGCAGACCATCTGTTTTCTTGATCATCGAATAGGAGACAGTAAAGTTGAACCTCTTCTGAAAATGCTTGACAAGATTTTCGCAACAGCAAGACCAAAGACGAAGAAAGCCTTACAGCCTTTCCTGGGTCTAACAGGTTACTACATGAAATTCATTGCCAACTACGCTGAGATCACCAAGCCTTTGACTGACCTAACACGGAAAGGATAGAGCAAGACTATCACATGGAGATAGTCTCAAGAAGAAGCTTTCCCTATGTTTAAGAGCAAATTTTGAGATCCTCCCATTTTACAAGTGCCCAACATGACAAAAGAATTTGTCCTCTGCACCGACGCCTCGACTACTAGTCTTGGTGCCGTACTGCTCCATCTAGGAGAGGACCAGGTCTTGCATCCTGTTGCCTACACTAGCCATAACTTGTTACCTTGGGAAACTCGCTACAGTCGTGCCCACATATAACGGCCCGCTTACAGGGTCTCTGAAACGGTTTTTTTCACATTCTGTTTTTGATTAGACCACTACTGGAGCAAATCATTGGCACCAGAGTTCCAATCGAAACACCCATTGTTAACGGAGCTACGAGTACTAGAAAAGTACCCTTCTCCTCCGCTCCGCCTTTCACCCTCAACTTCTCTCAACTCTTACTTTGAGCAATCGGGGCTAAGCTCCGCCTTCGTGGTGCCTGCATCATGATGTGGCATGAGACCGCATACGCGTAAATCCTGCTGCTGATCCGATACCGGCAGTCTGCGCTGCGCATTCCACAGCTAATCAGACCAGCTGGAAACGATGACGTCAGTGGGGCAGAGCGTGTTGCTTGGTGTATGGGTGGTTGAAAATGCGTTTGGCTGAGTCGCCCCGATCTGGAGCGATTTGCAGTTTAAAGCGTTGTAAGAGATTACACAGTTTATGCAGAGAGCTCAAATCAGTCTCTAAATCACCCTTGGGACTCGGTCTACCGGCCCAATGTGTTTGTAAAAATCGTCAACACCGTTTAAGGGTCCCTTTAAAACGATATCCCTGTGACTGTGAAAATATACATTGTTTCGATGGCACAAAATCGCACTTACAACGAACGTCTCTGAGCATCGCCGATCAGTTACAGCGAACGGAGTCGGCGCTCTGCTGACTTCTCAAGAAAGCACTTTCGACCACCGATCAGGCATCGCCGAGGTGCCCATAGATTCTTATTGTTAAACGCTGACCCTGTCTCCGTGGCCCTCTAGTTGCCACTTTCTCCGACCGCTTTTTGTTACGCACTCCTCAATCCTTTGTCCCCCCGCTACTCTGAGCACCTCACATAGCCAGACGAGGCCCGTGTTTTTACACTGCCACCGATCTTTCAAAGACCGGTCGGCCATCTATTCTGTTTTTATCGCTGGTACTGTCATTGGCGTCGCCGGCCTGGAGTGACTAGACCATTTGTCAACATCGTCGGCCACCAACTGCGATCGATCAACTGCGTCTTGTCTTATCGTATCGTTCTAGTGCACGCGCGCACACTATCCCACCAACTGATGCGCCGCAATTCGTTTCATGTTTAGGAACTGTTCTCGCTCACTTCGCATTTGGCTCAGCATACCCTCCACACGCATATGGCTGTTGCACAGAACGAATAGTGAATTATCGAAAACCGCCAGTGCAACAAAACGATTCTTTGACCTTTGCACGCGCAGGCACTCTTTCAAGTTTTTCTTTGCGCAAGTTGCACGTTTTACGAACCTTTCAAGCAAGCTTTCGACCTGCCTTCTTCTCGCGTGTTTGGTTTCCAAGGTCACCTTCCCGCCGTACCCTCTCCTCTTTTTTCTCTATCGCAACTCTTTGCCCTTCTCTCGCAAATCTGCTCTCCTGTTTTGATCACAACTCTTTTGCCAGTCTCCACCGCTGTGTGACACCAGCCACACTGGCTCGAATTAAGAAGTTTCGTTTTATGACTAGAAACAGGCCCAGAGCTGTTCCATGCGTTCTAGCATGTGTGTCGCGTGTGCGTGTCTTGCTCGCTCTTGGTGTGCGTGTGTGGTCAGGATGGCAGACAGGAGGCCTTCCACACTTTTTCCTGCCGCTCAACAAAACGTCAAAAGTGTGACCTCTTGGCTTGGGTGTAATCCGCGCAATAGGTGCCGTGTTGCAGAGCGCTTGCTCATAGCTGTTGACCACCTGACAACAACCAACTTGCTGTTTCGGGCCTTCCGGTATTTAGCTGTGGAGATGAAGATTTCGTGGGCGGCGGTGATGGTTACATGCGTGCAAAACTTTTTTTGCGGGGCCGACTTCGTCGACGTCGAGCCCGATGCCGAGCCTGAAACTAGTCTTTGTTACCAAAGCTCTTTTTGGTACACTCCCGTGCCTGCTGAAAGCATCCCTGCACTTCACTTGTGTGACTGCGCCCAAAGCATTTACATTGAACATAACGTAGCAAAATCCATTTTCTGATATGTTTTTGTGCTTGATTGTTCTGAACTGCGCATGATAACATTTTTGTCGAACTTCGCTGCTTTGACTACTCACAACTAGAAGCGAGCCAACCAACTTTTAGAGCTTTGATTACTCAAACAAAGATGGCGCAGCTAGTCTAGCATTTCGCAGGCCATCATTTTTTTTCTGGTCTTCTCAATGGAATAGAGTTATGCCACAATTTAGCGAGCAAAACACACTAGCACAAGCATTATATGCTATTAAAAATACACTAATACAAATACATCTTGTTGCCGGTGCTTCTCCAAACTCTGGCCAAGGTTTGCCGCACTGCGTCAGGGCTCAGTTTCTTCAGTTTTAAGGCTAGTTTGGCTAAGAGACACTGGTCATTCATCATCTTTTCAATGTGCCGCTTAAAGCACCACGTTCTTTGATACTTCCTATTTCGTTGGCCTCACTTCGATAACGCGCTGCTTTTGGAGCTTTATGTTTTTTTCGGAAAGCGTGAAAGCTGGTCCCAGCTGTAACATTTGTTAAGCAGCCTATAGGCTCATACTTCGTACTACAAAAGAGCTAACTCCTCTGAATAATCTGTTTGCGTAAACAGGCGTCATGCAAACAAGTGGAAGGGATGCAACTGCAGGGAGGTGTGCTCCCGAGCAATGGTGAGCTGCAATTGAAGTCACTTCCGTTTGTGTCTGATTTGCCCGGGCACACCACTAGGGTTCTGTGTCACCTGGTAGCTGACAATTAGAGCACCGATTATAAATTAAATATGCAATCGCAGGCTTTTTCACTGTTATTATCATTGCTTACCCAACATATGCTACACATTGCGAGCCAATCCTGCCCAAGTCAAATTTCGCTGCATTTGGCCTTTAAAAACAAATATGCTTTTCACAACGACTGGGAAGCTAAGGCAAAGAGAAATGTGGTAGTGAAAATCTCCAGCCCTATGATAGAATTTGTGCACATACCGTCTGCCTTACTTACTGGTGGTGTCCGACAATACCAGACACTAAATGGAGTGTTCTGCAAGCACTACAACTCAGAACTATACTTAAAATAAAGTACGGCTTGGTAATGTGGTCTGAAAGAAACGGGCCCTTTTGTCTTATGCTTTAGTTTCACAGGCACGCTACTCGCTGCACAGGTGGGCTACTAGCTGCAAGCAAAACGTAACACACCCTCGGTTCAGTTGCTGGAAGTGAGACAGTGATAATGTATTAAGTTTTAAAGGCCTGTAAAAGACAGCAGAGATGCCCTGTGACAAACAGCACCACACAAGCAGCCTTGCTCTGTCTGCCCTAAAAAACAGAGGCACTTTTTTTAGTGTCAAAAACATTTTCCTTCATAAGAATACTTAAAAAAAAAAAAAAAAACTAGCGAAGCAGACAATTTCGCGCTTTTTGTCGAACAAAGAAATACATTTTTTCTTGTCACTCACATTTTCCCCATTATGATCCCAAAATATCCAAGTTCACACATGTTTGAAGTGTATATACAAACTTAACTTAAACAGTGGGTCTATGTAAATGGTAAAGAGTCAAGCTAGATGCCTGAAGAGTACTTGCCTGTATTGCCTTTCAGCAGCATTGTCCTTCTTTGGACGCCGTCGTTTTGCTGACGTGACTGAGTAGTCTTCTTCAAGGTTTTTAGGAGGGCGCACTCGGCGCTTGCCAATGGCTTCATTGCTGCCATCATCCAAATCTCCATCTAATATATACACACACATATTTGTATATAAAAAAAAGTGACACAAATAAATATTTACATTTAAACCTCGATATAACAGACTTTAATATAGTATACAATTTTCTAGATATTTTAACAAACGATTCAGGTAGTCCGGAGAAAACTATTCTGTGTTAACTAGTCGAACACAAGGTAACCAAAGAAGCATTCTATTTCTTGCTCAAGCGGCCTGTCACTTCTTCTTCTCTTCTGGCCTCCACGATTTAATCCCGTAAGCTGAAGGCACGTGTAGTCATGGTTGATTCTTGTAACTTCAGAGCACCGTAGTCTGCTCGGAGGGCGCGCACATTTTGAACAGTTTTATGATATGCGTCAATATAGTGCAGGATACACAGAACTTTCTGCCTACAAAAAGCTAAGGGTTTTTAAAATCTTAACTCAACAAAATCTGCACATCCAAAATTTTCAATATAGAAACTTTTCACTGCTGTCACAAAAAATTCTGAGGCAACAAATTCAAACTTCTAAGGGTGCACTAGTCAAATAATTTAGTTTATATATAGATTCTTTCCGAATGCATTTCTTCAAATCTGACATTGTGTGAAAGTAACCAGCTTATTAGCTTCCACTGATGCATTTCCACAAAACAATAGGTTGAAAGGGTTTAAACTTTTTATCCTTTACATCCTGCATGCATAAAAAAAATTGGTATGGAATAATTAAAAAAAGAATAAGAAAGAAAAGTGTCACACATACTATGCATGTGATCACCTAACAGTCATGAAAAGACTCAACGGTGGCAGTGGCAGAACGAAATCAAACATCTTAAGCAAGCACAGATAAGCACCTTCATCTGCTTTAGCATTGTTGCCCTCCTGCCAATTCTCTAGTGTGAACGAAGCCTTACAAGTTCAGCTGTATATTTCGTTATATATTTACAGCACTGTTATGGGGAACATAAAAGTGGTCATTAGAGATACCTACAATAGAGTACGACTTAAGAAGACAGCAGAATTTCTACCTGAAAGGTGGATGCACACAAACTTGCACTAATGGGCGTGCAGTTTAGGCTGCCATGAGCCATGCCGCTGGACAGCGTGGCCAGGAATATAAGTGCGACTATTCCTCTAGTCGCAGAGGCATTCGTCTGCAGTACTTCTGTAAGGTGCCTTATTAAGCTGCCTCTAACTCTAATGGGTCCATGTGGGGCAATTTAAGTATTAGAGCGAACTAAGAGTGCCTACGGCCAAAGTAATGCAATGACAGTTATGGGCACAGTTTCTAATTATTTTCTGCTCCCTGGTGTGTGCAGATCTGACGATAATAATATGGCTATAATGCGATATATCTACTACTGCCATCGTTGTAGCCATCGATTTGTCATTCTTATAAGTGTAATGAAAAGGATAAGAGAGGCAGATGGGCAACATAAACAAAGTTCCAAGAATAAAAGCGGCACTGCTATTTTTGTACCCAGCAGGAAATCTTGAGACCAAGTAGAAGAAATTAAATGATCCCTGCACACATACAGCTTTCTTACTAGATACAAACATTCAAATAAGATATTAGTTAACATAAAGGTTTTAGCAATCACCAATAGTAAAAAAAGATGACATTGGAAATTTATTCAGAATACTTGTTTTTACAAGACGGGCAAAACTGCACAGTCAACACTGTTTATTCTTTACATATTCGACAGAATAGACTAAGTGGCATGTAAGCCCACTGACTACATTCTCAAGCAGGAGCTTGCAAAGTGGAAGAATTCAGCTGTGGCACTGTTCAGTCTGCCATCATTTCCAGTTTCCTGGCTAAACCCACAGTCATAAATTTTCACGATGATTTTGTGTGTGGTGCTGATATCGTAGTGCACACACAGTGCAGACAGCTTAAAATATAAATTAGTGATTGTCATGAATCTCGAAAAAGATAGTGAAGCAGCAAAATAACATAATTTTCAAAGGCTGCACACATGTAAAACATGTACTTTATACAAAACACATATATGAAGATCAATGTGTAACTGGATGTTTGCATCAATTTAAACTTGTAAATATTGAAAGGTACCCATGATGAAATAAGGAAATACGGTTAAAACAAAGAAATAAGTAAACAAACCAAAATGCATGCACCATATAAAAGAAGACATAAGTCATGAACTAATTTTTTTGACATGTTCAATCTGCAAACTTCTCCACAGTACTACCACCCCCGACTCATTGACCTAAGTGAAGCGGTGATTGAAATTTTGCACACTGTAAATAGTACATCATAATTCTTAGCAAGTATGCATGATGCATGTGCACAATGCCACATGCACACCTGCCAAGTTTAAGGATTCTGAATCCGCGAAATTTCTGCAACGGGAAAGGAGGGGGGCCGACGCACTGAATTATTTTCACCATTTTCTTGGCCCCCCTCAAAAAAACATTGTGCAAAAAAAAAAGAGGGGGTAGGATTCCAATTGCAAGCGCTAACATTGGCATTGCAGTCTTATGATGGCTTGGAGTGATTGAGCCCACGAGGCAAGTTTCCCACTAAGGCGAGTCCCTCAAAGTGGGAGCGCAAGTACTCCCGAAATTTTGCGTCATCAAAACAACTAGCAAAATCTATTTCCGCCTTAATGACTCGCTTATGTCTTCCTGGAACACATGTCAATGAACAGGACCAGCGCAGCTGGCTGCCGCCAAAGCGCGCTGGTCCAAAGCTTTGGCGTTGCTCGCTACTATAGATTCTTTGAACAGGAATACCAAAACGCTTCTAGCCTTTTTTTTTTCTTAGGTTTTTACTGTCTTTAATCTACTGCTGCATTAGCGACGTGCCCTCGGAGCTCGCAGATCACTATCGCATCGCCACACTTTTGTGCGCGGCGGTTGCGGCAAACTGTAGTTCCATTATCAATCCGTGTGCGTAAGGAGTGCATGTGCCTTCAAAACTAAGTCATTTTATGCTATCTATGATCACATCTGCCGCGGTATTGTCCACAAGGTTGCGAACGGCAGCGTTGCTTTCACTGGTCGAGCGTGACACACGCGCACACTTTCAGAGTATTGTCAGTAACGTCGTCGCCATACATGGCCATGTCAAGAACGACCGTGGTTTCATACACAGCGGTTGTGGCAACCACACGCACTGTAGAAGACAGTGTGCTATTCTTGGTCAGCCTTCGTTAGACTTTTTCTGTACTAAAGTTTATATCACACGCCCCGATTAGGAAAGTGTTTGGAACATTCGAACTTTAGCCCAATGGACACAGAGAAATTTGGCTGGAGAATGTCAGAATTCGTGTCTGCCGGGGTTTCGCATCACTGAGACTACTGTACGTTTGGATGCACGTTTGCTAAATTCATTATAAATAAAATGCGTTGGGTATGCAAGAAGCCTGGGGCGGAGGACTGACCTGCATTTTTCTCAATGCGGCCAGATCACGCACTGAAATTTCTATTTCCAGAAGATTTTCATGACAACTGTACAAATGAAAGAAACAGTCAAAATCCGGGAGTTTTCCAGACAATCCAGGAGTGGCAGGTATGCACATGCACGTATGATGCATGCACAGTGTCAAAAACAAGGTGACCAAAAACCAAGGGAAGCTGCCATCATTTGAGCGTTACACATACTGCTTACGCTTTCATTTTCATGGTAAATGTGATTCCCCCAATCTCCAAATTCAGCCACTGGAAGCGTTTTGTAGACTCAGCACCTAATTACTACTTTAGCCGCTCGTGGCAGCAATCATCGAAGCAGCTAGTGCTTAAGATGTTTAGCCTACAGGATGCCAAGAGATATGTCATGGGAAGCTTGCCCTTGATATGTTCACACTGTAGGCAACATGGAGAATGGGCACAAATAAGCTAAGTGGCATGCGTGATAACGAAAAGTTAAGTAGGCATTGAAAAATTTGGGTGCAAGTTAAAGAGCCCCAGGTGGTCAAAATTTCCGGAGCCCTCCACTATGGCGTCTCTCATAATCATATGGTGGTTTTGGGACGTTAAACCCCACACATTAATCATCAAGTAGGCATCGGAATAGACCTCATCATGACTCGTCTTGCACACTAAGTGGTTATGATATAAGTGCATTTCTTTTAAATGCATGCATTTGAGCTTTCATACTCACTATCAAATGACTGCTCTGCATCTTCAATCGCATCAGAACCACTGGCAGTTGAGCACGGTGCGGCAGATGTGCTGCTCGATGGCTGAGGCAGAACTCGTGGCCGGCCACGCTTGCGGCCAACTGCAGTCTTCTTTGACTCCACATCACACTCAGTAGCAACTTTCAAATCATGAACCTGCAAATAGTACTTCAATGTCACACTAAAAAGGCAGAAAAATAACGATCAGTAGGTCACCTCCGAGGATACACTCATTTTAGGATATGTAGCGTGAAATGGCAGGTTTTGTAGCTGTGGAGTGAACACTTACATAATTACAGCATTACTGAAAAATTTTTACTGAATTCTTACAAAGTGCTCCAATACATTCTGAAAGACAGTGATGCATCACAAGAAATACCATTCCAACAAGAAGAATCTAAAAACAACATGACTTCTTTTACAAGGCCAAATGAGCTTGCTTTCAGTAATGGTTGGGGCCAACATTTATAAAATATGGCCCTCTGCTAGCCTTGAAAGCTAACATAGTCACAAAGGTAGAGATGAAGAGTCTACAATGCTAACAGATTTTCATTTGCAGTTGTAATTCTCGTCATCCTTATTCCCTAAACACAGAATAAAATTTCTCACATATACCTGCTTAAAAACTTACTATGCAAAATATGGAGCTTGGGATGTTTGTTTTATTCTTATGAGTTTACAGGCATCTCTATCCAAGTATATTACTCACAAAAGCTTCCAAAAACATATTTCAGCATGGACATCAATGTCCGAGAGGTTGGTCCATATTAATTGCCAGATCTTGCAACATCAAGATCAACATGTAATTAAGGGCTCAAATCCAAGAAGTAAATGCGAACAAGCTGAAAGGAGCAACTGAAGCCAACTGTCTAAAAGTGACTTTTAAAACATAAAAAGGCAAACCTTAGAATGATGAACCTTAATTTAACAAAATCCACAATGTAATGAACCATTTTCATTCCCCAATCTTAACTTTATTCAAATCATGCAAGATTTTTCTGGCTACTTAGAAAAGTAACTTTGCACTAGATTTTCAACTTATAGGTGTACCTGGTCTTTCTGTCACACATGAATGATCAGTATACATTGGTCGAAACAGAATACGTTTTTTGTAGTCCACCTTTTCGGTAGAAAAAAGAGGGAAAAAAACAGTTAAGTAAATGAAAGGCCTGGCTAATAATAATAATTCCGACGGTATTGCATGCCAAATCCCAACGAGATTGTGACCTGTGATGTACTGGCAGACTCCAGAAATATATTTTCCTACTGGGGTTGTTTAATGAGTGCAATGTGATGGCTTCAACACTTTGATGGCTTGTGGGAATCGAGCGCACTCTTCCATATGATGCCTTGTTCCCCACCTGGCATGGGCGCCCGCCCACGTGGCCCCGGGGCTAGAAACCACCGTAATCGGCAAGATGGCTGCCCTGGCTTCGCTGCAAGTCCTGTCAGCTGGTACGCATCGGGAGTTGGCGCCTTGCCGGCCGGCATGTCCGGACATGCTACGCCAGCACAGGCTACGCAAGCACACGTCACCGCTTTTTGCCTATCATTGACTGCCAGTGACTACCCCCTCTCCTATGGGTTTGCTACTGCCCGGCGCTTGCAATGGAGGAAGTCGTGCTCTGCCTTTGCGGGGCGACTTTTCGTTCGCACGCTTCGGCAGTTCCCCTTAGTGAGGTAGCCGTGGCCCCGCAGGATAGTGTACTCGACCGGTCTTGTAGAGATTCCCTGCTGGTCAACAAGCCCATGATTGTCGCACTGTGTCGTATCTTGGGTTAATAAACCCGTGTTTGTTAGCGACCTGCCGCAAGTGCAACCTCTACACCGGGTCCTAGAGTGGAACGTGGCTATAGTTCCTTTGTGTGCAACACCACTGGAGAACATTTAGCCCCTTTCCGGTCGCTTCGCGAGGTAAGCTGCTTTAGCCAACCTATTTCCACAGCCTCTATGAACAAAAATTGGAAATGATGGCTGATGACACCGTTGAGTGAAAGGACTGGAAGGCGCTCTCCACACTCTCTCTTTTTTTTGTGCGTATGTGTGTACACGTGTGTGTGCATGTGCAAGTTAAATGAGCTTGCAGTGAGTTCTATGCTACACCATGCCTTTCTGATGCAAAGGCCAGCCAACCACTCATTGTAAATTTGCCACGGCACCTGCAAGGAGAGGCATGAAGGCATAAAGGCATGAAGACATGACGGCTGCCACTGAAAAACACAGGACCATGACTCACTGTTGACATTCCTACAGTGATAGACATCTTCAAATATCTGCTCAGCCCTGAATGTGGTGTAATGCCATTGGAACACATACGAAGCATGCAGTGTGGGCTAACAACTATTTAAATTTTTTAAATATTAAAAATAATTAACGTACAAAGACCCACAATACCAACGAAAGGAACACAAAAAGGGAAAATAAGGGGATCTCACAAAAAAAAGCACCATTGTAGAAATTTGCCGCCTACTTCTCAGACCACCTTAATTATGTGCAATACACAGACACTATGCCGAATCATGCCCGAAATTTCGCGCGTTTAGAGATACCGATAGCTCGATTTCATGGGTGTGTACCTGATCTCAAGACATCGCATCAAATCAATCGCATGTGCCAAGGTGACCAAGCGCGGCCAGCAAGTGGCCGAAGCCACACTAGTACACTGTAGTCGCGCCAGCGCAAAGGCTTATCCGTTGCCTAGGCAACCACCCCCCTTCCTCACTCGGCGAACCCACGCAGGGTGCTAGTCTTTTTACCTTTTCTTTTTCCATCCTCGCCATTCATTCTTTCACTCCGCGTACCCTCCTGCTCCGTAACAACAGTGGCACACCCAGCGCACCTCCATTCACAAGCGCACTCGCTGCTGCCTTTGCCACAAAGATTTTCAGGCAACCGTTTAATAACAGGTCTTTCATTTCATGGGAATACACAATAAGGGGAATGCGTATAGATGGGGTGCTATGGAAGGAAAAAGCAGGAATAAAAAAAAAGACCACATTGTAACTAGTCCTGCACTGTATAATGAAAAGGAACAAATAATAAAGACAAGGAACGTATAGTTGACATTGCTTGTAGCCTACAAATTAAGGTGTACCGGAGGACAACCACTGCTGTTCTTCAATTGGTAGAGCATCAAACAGGTTATTCGAAGGTTGCAGGCTCAGTTGCAGGCTCAGTTCCTACCGGCATCAAGTTCTCTTTCCATACACCCTAATTTCTTCACCTTTAAGTCAAATTATTACAACACAGTTAGAAGGCTACAAATAAATTCCTCTATACCTTTTTTGGCTTCGCTGTCAGTTGGTTTTTATTAATGGGTCCTGTAGCACTTTTTTAGCACGGTCAGAAAACGCTGCCTATTGGTAGGCGAGGCTACACAGTCCAAGCAAGCCTAACATTATAGCACAGCACACTGCCTAGAATTGATTCTCAAGGTTCCCTCGAAATTCTTTATTATCCTCACAACAAGTGAAGCCATAATCCCAAATTACCACATCACAAACTAGAAGTCCATGGCCATTGGCTGATTTGAGCAACATAAGCTGCACAGTCACCATGGCAGCCACATAATGCTACCTCATCCCCCTCACTGTGCAGCTTTCTGCGTACTCGATATCACGAAAAGAGACAGTGCTTGAAGAGTGCGACAAATCCCTGCCCTGTAACTCCAATCACACTTGACGGATTCTAAAAAAGCTTTGCGGCAGTCGATTTGTCAGCTACTAAGCTCTTTGAATCCATTGGAAGATTACACGAATAAGTTGCAGGGACCCTTCAAAATTATGTCTAATAAAGAAAAGCAAGCCCCTAAATTTCCCTTCTTTTGTTTATTCATAGTGAGAGTCTCATTTCGGTAGACTTGATGTGTTCACGAAGTCTCCAAGGGCTCACTGGTCAGCTGCCAGCTCTTAAAAAGGTCACATTCTACGTGACGCCAGTTGGCAAAACACACTCGCCATTACGGCTATGAGTAGTGGAGCCTAATGTTTCCAGATTTACATGCACAAAAATATGTGATAGCATGGACAAGAGGATGACTGCTGTTGCAGCTCAATCGGTAGAGCATCAGACACACGATCCGAACGTTGCAGGATCATTCCCTGCCATCAGCAAGTCGTCCTTTCGTTCACTTTAATTTCCTCACTTTTATATTGTAATCACAATATAGACCACTCATAACGTAAGTCGCGAGTATCAGCGCTATAACCAAAACAACCCTTTTCAAAGGTCACAATGACACAAAACTTGCTGAGCAAGCAGCCCTGCATGCCTGAGAATAGAAGCATGCGATGCATGCTGCTTTTAAATAAATGAACATGAAAAAAAAAGGGGGGGGGGGGGTATAACAAGAGAAAGCACCATCGCGGAATTTCGCTGACTGCAGACGCCAATCGTTCTATTTCACAGACACGCACCCTATTTCAAGACGTCGCAATTGAATCGCAAACCACCATACAAGCCCTATATGTAACAATATGTATCTCTTCCCTTCAAGTGCAGCCACCACAAAGAGTTTCGTTGATTCCCAACTAAACCGCACTTTAGATTGCACGCGACCACTACTGAAACGCAACCAACGTCGATTAGGCATAGCCTGCCGTTCGGTATGTTGTCGCGGGAAGTTTGTCCAAGACATGAAGATCAGGCGTTCACCGCCAGAAGATCAGCAACGATGAAAACCTGCCAAGCTTACGTAAGACAGTGCACTGGCCGCAAAGGCGAAGCTCACGTCATAAAGCCATAAAGGGTGCAAGTAACTCCCCTATATGCTCCTTGGCTGCACTATTCATTTTCATCAAGGTTGTAACAAAGTAAAATGAGCCCTCAGATTTACCTTCCTTCTTGCTATACAGTACACTCTCCTTAAATGGCACCTGAAGGGATCAGGAAGTTATGTTCCATTTAACAAGAGTTTCGTTTACCAAAAGATGAACAGGGGTGCCAAATACAAGTACTAGAACCAATCCTATCAGACAGTTGTTCTGTTTAAGCATAATTTCGTTATAACAGATTTCCATTTACCAAGTCTACTGTAATTTCACATGCTCTCCAGAGGCCTCCATTTGCCAGTTAGACATGTCTTCACGAAGAAGTGGTGACACATTCAGCTTTGAAGCAGTGAAAGGAGTGACATTTGTTGCCTCCTTCCAACAATT